GAGATTTCTGGGATGCATAATGAAGAAAAAAGTTCTTAAAAAATTGTATGAACGTATGGCAGAATAGGGAATTGGAAATCATCAAAAGTGTCTGCCTATATTTCTGAGATGAGGTATTTTAAGTATTTACACTATTATATTTTTCGGGCTGTTGCCCTAATCTTTATTGCTGTATTCACGACATCTCGGCCGTAGTACGCTCCGGCCTTCTTCAGGATTTGTCTATATTTTTGAGATGAGGTATTGTAACTAATTACACTATTCACATTGTTTGGACTGTTGTTCTCATCTTTATTGCCATATTCACGAAGTCTCGGCCGTAGTACGCTCCGGCCTTCTTTAGGATCTGTCTATATTTCTTAGCTAAGATATTGTAACTATATATATTATTTACATTGTTCTGACTGTTGTCCTCATTTTATTGCCATATTCAAGACGTTTCAGTCGTTGTACTGTCCGACCTTCTTCAGGATCTGTCTATATTTCTGAGATGAGATATTGTAATTATTTATATGTGTTTTTGTAATTATTTACATGCTTCGAACTCTAGTCTTTATATACTTATTCACGACGTTTCGGTCAATGTATGCTCCAATCTTCTTCAGGATCTGTCTATATTTCTGTGTTGAGGTATGGTAAATATGTACGCTATTTACATTGTTCGGACTATTGTCCTCATATTTATTGTGATATTCACGACGTTTCGGCTATTTTACAGTCCGTCCTTCTTCAGAAGATATTTCTTGGAATTTCTAACCGAACCAAGGACACATCCCAATAGATAAAAGTGTTGGTTGAAGTAATCCAGCGACTTGAACCAAAGAGTTGTGAGTTCAATCTCTGGCCAAAGTAGTGATGAAGAAAAATTCGGAAAGTTGAGTTACTAAAGGGAAATAACTGAAACTGAGATATTCGGAAAAGGCATGGCGCGTGGAACTAGAGCAATCTACCCCGTTGAATGAAATAAAGGTTTCGGATAGAAGTTCCAACGTATATCACCTGAAGAAGGCCGGAACGTATAACGGCCGAAACGTCGTGAATGTGACAATAAAGATAAGCACAACAGTCCGAACAATGTAAATACTGTAAATAGTATCAAAAGTTATTTGGAGTTTTGTAAAACATGATCGACCACGTCCTGAAGGGACATGTCACATAAAAGAAAAAAAAATTCAGTTGTAATGGTCAACTCAACTTCTCCACGTCGCCGGACCCGCAAAGAAACAGCGTTTGGGCCAAGGGACATCAATTTTGCGAACACGGTTCATATTAGCGACATCAGATGGAAAACATATGAGACAAAACAAATTAATTCTTTTGATTAATTTGGGTGGCAATTATTAAAAGTTATATTTCTTGTTAATAAGGAAAATAAAAACATTAAAAAATTGCAGCAAATGTTAATGACATTTTTATATAATTGCCCACCGAATACTCAACAAACGCTCAATTTATAGGGCTACTGAATGAGGTTCTGTAAGGGCGTGTAAATAAGAAGTCGTGTATATTGTGAGAAAATAAAGGTTAGATAAAGGTTGACCCTAGACTTGAAATGTTAAAATTGCAGTTGATTGGTTAGTTGATTTTGTTTAGCGTCTTATGAATTACTAGTAGGAGAGCCCGGCGTTGCCCGGGGATGTAACAGTAAGAGATAGATCAAGTATCGACCATCATAAAGACTGAAAAAATAAAATTGACAAAGATTATTGTTTAAGGTTGACGGACACGCATGTCTTAATTAATTTTTTTTTTGTTTTTTTTACGAATTGGTCAGACCAAAACTCAAACAAAAACATTGTTTTTAATCGTTATGAGTCTACCGATTGAATAGAATTTTATTATAAACAATTGTCTTGTAAATGGAATTTTGAAAGCATTCTGAATGTAAAAATAAAGAAAAAAGTGTGCAAGACAATAAGAAGCACTACCTGCCAAAAAAAGTGAAGTTTTGTTGAAAAATGTAGGAAATCCGATCCCATATATAAACGAACACACACACAAACAAACTGGGTTTTATAATAAGTATAACTCGATATGATTTCATTCTTGCGACAGCGATGCCTCTTAATCGTGTTTTCAAATTGATTTCGTGCAAAAACAATTGTGTTTTTCCAATTTTTGGCGCTGTCAGAACCACCGCAAGGTAATATTACGTAGTCCTGTATAGTTTTGTTGAAATCGGTGGAAAAATGTAGGAAATCCGATCCAATATATAAACGAACAGACACACAAACACACACACACACACACACACAACCTGGGTTTTATAATAAGTATGATTTAATGCCGAAATCTAAATATTCTGAACACAATTTTATGGCTTCAATTAAAGATAAAATGTATTATTGGTCATTTCACTATAAAATTTATTGTTGATAATTTTACTACAAAATTTAAGCTTTGGACCGTATATGCAAGTCCCACTTGGGGTCCTTGGTGCGTTTCAGTTCCAACAGACGTTTCAGAAGAAAAGCTACATTGAAAGTATTTTTAATTATGTCTTCTTATTTCATTTGATGATAACATGAGATGAAAAAGAAAAAAAATGAAAGATGATGACGTTGCTTTTGTTGTCCGGAAATGCTCTGTTTTTTTGTTTCCTTTCTCAAATTCTCTTCTTTAAGAGAAATTTTAAAAGACCTTCAGCAATTTTCGAAACTGGAAAATAGAACACTTCCAAAAGAAATACGAACTTCCAGAATTGAAAGAAAACGAACTGGGAGGAGAACAAACAAAGACAATGACAATGGAATTCAATATTTTTTACTTAAATTCATGCTATACAAGGCTCAAGAGCCACTCAATGTAGATGGTTACTAAATGTCTGATATGAATGTAAGAGAAGGCGTTAAGAATTGAAAATTGTATGGGTAAGGAGGACAGAAAATCCCCTTGTTTTGAAGTGGTTCAGATTGTAGTGTTTAGCGTATCATCTATGATGTAGACAGAACATGAAAGTCGGGGAGTACAACGGCCGAAACATTGTGAATAAGAATATAAATATAAGGACTACAGTCCGAACCATGTAAATAATTACAAAAAAAAACATGTAAATAATTACAATACCTCATCTCAGAAATATAGACAGATCCTGAAGAAGGTCGGAGCGTCCAACGACTGAAACGGTTTAAGTAACAGTTCTCGGAAAAAAAAAACTAACTTAAAGGAATATGGACAAAATTAGGGCGATTTGAATCTGTGCATGTAGCCTGACGTGTCGTAGCTGTACAGGTCGGAACCGCTGGAAATAAAACTAAAATTCGCATAATTGAATGCGTAAGGTGATCCACTAAGAACTGTTCAAATAAATGCAATCGTACCCGAAATTGTTTTAGAAAATGCAATACAAACACCCCTCGAAACACTATTTAAATTCAATGTCTGATCGTCTTACTAGACAGCTACTTCTGATAAGCCCGGATGTAATAGAAAACTGATCACGTGATATACTATATAATTTATTGACTAATAAAATATATACTCTATAATTTTTGAAGCCTTTTTCAAGCCACTTTCACAAAAAATAAAAAGGCAGAGATCAAGTATAAAATCTGCCTTTCACTCTCTACAGCATCCATGATCTTACTACAGTGAATAGTGATTTTCCAAAGGTAGCTTAGATTTAGAACAAGGCCCAAAGTATGGAGCTTTTATTGAGGTGAGGAATCACTACATTGTTGAAATTGACCTAGCTTGCTAACCACAGTTTACTATATGACCTCGAAATGACTTACTACAGTGTAAACGTCCGGGAGTCCAAACTAGGTTAGATTCAGCAAACAGTAAGTAATTCCTATTGCCACTCCTAATACACAGACTAAAGGTTTTTCTCATCCAAACCTACAATAAGTACTCTAAAGAAAGAAGCGTTTTTATGAAGCAGAAAAATTTTATTTTAATTTGTGTCCGCAGACAATTAATATCGATGACGTTTTGGCAATTTTACAAAACACGGTTGTTTTATTAGGAACCCATTCTGCACTTTTTTCAAATGATGTGAACATACAACGAATCGTCACCCAGCTGTTCACGGACCGGTCAATGACTATCCTACTTTGGATCACCTTTCTCGTTTACCAAAAAACTGGGAAAGACCCGCTGCACGTTCACAAGTTAACGAAAGCTGAAAATAAACGGCTCGTCAGAGAATGATAATTGGAACCCTGTTTTTAATATTTTACTTCTTTCACTTAGAGCTTCGTTTTGCTCGGTCTGGGTGGATGCGTAAATGATACTCGGGTTAACTTGTGCCATATCAGTCCACCCATTCAGCTCTTCGCTCCTATCAATTCTCTGCCCGTGAGTCTGGCAATATGAACGGGCGGTATCGGACAATCTGCCTCCCGCTAAGTTGCAGACCAGCATTGTCTTCCTCAATCTCAAACATGACTTTTAACATAGACCAGGAACCGGAAATCATTAATCTCCGGTTTTGTTGTCACTTGATCCCCAAAACATGTATTTATTTATTTCCTCTTTTCTTCTCCTTGGGTCAAATGGGTGCCACTTAGAAATCTTCAGTTAAAAGACGCCATCTGCAGAAAAATAGTTCAAAATCACACTTTTCTCTTCTATGTTGGTATCCCAATTATGAAGATTACAAATTTACTGAGTCCTTCGATGACCAATAGATATAAAATCATCTGGGAGTTTGAAAATCAGCCAAATCAACCAATCCTGGCCAGATTACTATTTGGTAATCGTAAGCAAGGAAAAAAAAGCCATGCCAAACAGTGTATTTCGCAGTTCCAGAAAGGAGAGTAAATTTGAATAAAAATCAAAAGCGGGAGTTGAAAAAGTTATATAATATGGAGTTTACAGTTGTACCAGTCGTTATTGACACACTGGGAACAGTCCCGAAACTCGAGTGAAAAGAAATTAGGGAAATAAATGGCAAATAGGGGGAGAGTCGAGAGCATCCAAGCGATAGTATTACGATAAAGAGTGTGGGAATATTGAGGAGACTTGCTATCGCAATTTTTCGTGTTAGCCACCAGTTGCTACAGGTAGAAATACTCTTTGGGAGTGAATAAGAGAAAGAAAGGGAAAGTGACGTCGACAAAAACAAAGGCAAAGAAGAGAGCGGTGAAAAGAGAGAACAAAGCTACAATAAAAGAAAGAAAGAGAAGAAATGCGACTCAAATCCAAAAAGAGAAGAAATAACGAAAAGGGAAAGAACTAAGAAAGAAGAGATAGAAGTAAAGATCTTGTGAAAGGGAAAAGAAAACAAAAAAAAAGATGTAAAAGAAAAAGGAAGAAGGCGGATTGTCAGCCAAAAGACGAAGAGGTGGGAGAAAAAGACAAAATGTTTTCTTGCCAGCGGTGGCAAATAAGACGATTGCAAAGCACTATAAAAAAAATCCAATCAAAAGGAAAAACACACAAAAAAAAAATAAAAAAAAAATAGAAACAAAGAGAAAGTACAAAATGTAACGACGGGGTTTTAGAGAAAGCTTGGGAGAGACACAGAGAGAAAGAGAGTTATAAGTCGGAGGCGGTTGCCCCAAAACGGATGTAGGCATCAACTCGGTTGCAAATCGGCGCCTTCATGTCGGACACGCTTCATGTTGGGGGTGGCGAGTAACTAAGGGAAGTGGCGGGAAAAACCAATTAGATTCCCGCGTACGGGGAAAGAGATGATCAATCATGACGCGGGTGGCGGTCACTAAGGCATGTCACGTACTATTACACCACCACACCCGAAACACACACACATACACACGCCTTCTAACCGTTGTCGCTAAGTTTTGCAGCTTGAATAAACCAGATACTCTCGAAGAACTATCCAATAACAGCATAGAGTTTAGAGGATCAAACACATAAGCATTGTCTGTGTGCGGATGTCGTGTGTTTTTATATGAATTTGATTGCATTCGTCTGTGCCAATCTCAGGGAATCTTTGCCTATGTATATGCACCCGTGTTTTGAACGTTTCTACACACACACACACACACACGCACATATATGTAGTGGCCAGCTATAATATATATATATATATATATATATATATATATATATATATATATACACACACACACACACACACACACACACACACACACACACACACATATATATATATATATATATATATATATATATATATGAATATACTGAACTGGATAAGTCTTCCCTTTTGCACTGTTCACCTGAAGGATCTTGGGATGCCAAGAAAGCTTCCATCAGTCTTACCCTTCATCACACGGTAGTTAGTCACACAGGCGACGAGTTTCCTTCATTCAATAGAATCTGTGTATCTCGTTCATAGCACATTCTATGTTGCTACTCGGGCAAATAGGATCTTTGGTAGTCAATGGCATTCCTTCCCCGATATAAGAAATAGGGGTCGAGTTATCATTTCCCGACGAGTCGATAATTTTCAGCTTTAGTTAACTTGCGAACGTGCCGGTCTTTTCCAATTTTTGGTGCACATCTTTGTGAACAAGAATCGAGACAGAACGTAGGATAGTCATTGGAGTTTTTCCCTTTTATCACAGCGGCATCTGCAGCATTGTCTCATTGCTAAAAAAAACATTTTTGAGGACTTCGTTGTTTGAATGAAGTCTCTCAAGCATAATTTAACAAGGGTGCTGAGGCAAGGAGGTGCTGGCAACACCATGATGTTAAACAGGTTTCGTCACTACGGAATACAATGGCTGCGTATAACTTTTATTTAAGTGAATTTCTGAAGTTCTTACGCATCCAAATAAAAAATATATCAGTAAAAATCGAGTGAAAATGTTCCACTAATTATTTAGGTATCAGATCCCAACAGATAAAATCCCAGCAGGCAAAAACTGAGTTGACAAAATCCAAGCCTCTTACCACAAATGTGGACAAAATGTGTCTTTCATAAATAAAAAAAATCGTATATGAAAAGAAACAAATTTCTCAACGAAAATTCAAATAAGTTATAAGTAAAATTTTAGTATCAAATTCAGAAAATAATAATAATATCAAATATATACACATATATATATAAATATTATTCCGTTATTAAAAATTTTATTTAAGCCCTTAATTCGGCATATTTATTCGTATAAGATCTCCGTGGTTCGTTTACGTTTTGGTGTGTTGTAACCTGGGAAGGGTTATTGGATGAGGAATAACCAAAACGGAGGTTGGAAATGAAATGGTAAACTTTATAACATCAATAAAATACAATACTCGCCAGCGGCGTGAATTAGGTAAACCACTGATAGTGGTGGACTACCTAGATAGCTTATTATCTCCACATACAATAGTGGCCAACGTATTTATGAGGATTGGGACATACCCATTACTGTTCATACGTACGGTATTTAACATGGTGCAAACACTGAAAGAACCATTCTGAAGGCTTCCTGTACATAAAGATGGGTATTATGGGAACAAAGCCTCCCTAACTATGAAATATATCGAATATGTATTGTTAGAAAATGTCTTTTGGGGGTCGAAACGATTTACTATGAATTTCTGTTGCAAACAGGGAAGACCCATAAACTCATACCTAACAGAAATAGATTTTTCTTGTACATAAACACACACACGCACACATATATATAGGGGGCGATGGATAAATTGTCATCAAAATTACGCAAAAATGAAAATAACACTGACATCTCATTGTAAAAGATATTTTACCAAAATTACACAAAAATATCTTGAAATAGTAAAGAGTAAATTCATTCAATAAAATCGAAATTGGCTTCAACCACGGCTTCCAGACGACTTCAGAATCTCCTGCAACTCTTCTGGACGGTCTCCTTGTTTAAGTTGCTGAATGTTTCCATAAACCTTGCCTTCAGTTCATCTTTGTTGTTACAAGAAGTTTTGTTGCTCTCTTGCTCAACTGCGCCCCACACATAATAAGCATCGGGGTTTGAAGTCTGGTGAGTTAAGTGACCAAACGTAAGGGGTTATGTGGTTGCAGAAATTGTCTGACAGGCATGACTGGATTCTCCTGCTTGTGTGGCATGATTCAGAGTCCTGCTGCCAGACATAGGGTCGTCTAGCAGGTACTCTCTTGACCCAGGGCAGCACGATCTCCCTAAGGCACTTGATGAAGTCCTCCGTGTCGAGTCTGAGGCCCTGTGGAAAGATGAATCGTTTATAACGTCGCTATTACTGGTGATCACTTCATACACATTCGTAGTCACCATTAAGTTCATACATTTTTTCCGAATCCTCTGCACTGTCCTCAAATTGATACCCAAACGATTTGAAATGTTTCTTATTGGGGATTACGGCGTTAATGCCAAGCAGTACAATATGCTGTTTCAAAATTTCTTTCGGAGTTAATTGCGTCACGGTGCTCTTTTTCTCAAAGACGGTGTACAAATGACCCTACTATACTTTGTAGCCTACAAAATCAAAAACAAACAACGCGCATGCGCAAAATTAAAAAAAAAAATGCCGTCAATTTACCCATCGCACCCTCTATATTAGTATTATTGTCTCAATTTGATATTAAATTTTGAATTAAAAGTTCATTGAATTATAATTTTAAATTTGTTTCTTTTTATATATAAGACGTTTGTATTCTGAGACTGGAATTTTATCTACTTTTAAGTTTTAGGCTCAGTTTTTGACCGCTGGGTTTTTCTCATGGATTCATTTAGTTATTATGTACACGTAAATGTGGGTAGGAATAATTCAGTTCGCTTGTATCTTATTCACTCAACCATTCACAAAACTTCATAAAAAATTCTCTCTAAATAAAATCAGATTGTATTTTCTCGTCTGATTCATTCATATCCCAACATCCAGTGACACGTATTGATGCTGGATGTTTTAAGGAAATAATTACTAATTTTAATAGCATTTTCATATTTGAAATTTCTGATGAATCGTAATTCTTCAGTTAATCTTACTTATTATAAAACGCAGATTTTGTGTGTGTGTGTGTGTGTGTGTGTGTGTGTGTGTGTGTGTGTGTGTGTGTGTGTGTGTGTGTGTGTGTGTACGTTTATATATTGGATCGGATTTCCTACATTTTTCAACCGATTTCAACAAAACTTCACAGGACTACGTAAAATTACCTTGCGGTGGTTCTGACAGCGCCAAAAATTGGAAAAACACAATTGTTTTTGCACGAAATCAATTTGAAAACACGATTAAGAGGCATCACCAGAATGAAAGGGGGACAACTCATATCGAGTTATACTTATTATAAAACCCAGGTTGGTTGTGTGAGTGTGTGTGTTCGTTTATATATGGGATCGGATTTCCTACATTTTTCAACCGATTTCAACAAAACTTCACTTTTTTTTTTGGCAGGTAGTGTTTCTTATTTTCTTGCACACTTTTTTCTTTATTTTTACATTGAGAATGCTTTAATAATTCTATTTACAAGAGAATTTTTTATAATGAAATTCTATTCAATCGATAGACTCATAACGATTGAAAACAATGTTTTTGTTTGAGTTTGGGTTTGACCAATTCGTTAAAAAAAACAAAAAAAAAAACAAAAAAAAAAAAAATAATTAAGACATGCGTGTCCGTCAACCTTAAACAATAATCTTTGTCAATTTTATTTTTCAGTCTTTATGATGGTCGATACTTGATCTATCTCTTACTGTTACATCCCCGGGCAACGCCGGGCTCTACTGCTAGTGATTGAATAAGCTCATGGCGAGTTCTACGACAATAAAATATCCGTAGAAGATCCCCCCTATCGCATCGTTAAATATTTGAACAACATTAAGAACATATTCAAATGACAACCATAAATATGAATTCCAGTTGTTATTTTAAGAAGTAAGAGGGTACAAATAAAAATATCTAAAATTCACAACTTTTTCCATTTCACTGAAACAGACATTAAACTCTTTCACTCTCTCACTAGAACCATGTAACATCTTTCTTATGTTTTTTGTCTTTTCACGCGGAAATGGTCCATTATTTATGAGGTATTAAGAGGACGTAACGGTCGTGCGAAATAACGAAGGGAGGGAAAAGCACAATTGTTATATGGTGATTACTACTAACCTAGAACATCAGGTGATTATACGCAGCGTGATGGCAATCTTTATCCTTCATGTCCGTAAAAAGGCGTGTCAAAAGGAATTTTTTTTTATTCAAACACAGTATTCACTAAATGATAAGGTTTGAGTAATAAAATCATGTCAGATTAAAGATTAAAAGCCATTAATTCTTTAAAAATACTTATTTTTTCTCGACATCCCACAACATAGCCACCAGGTTTCCTTGTATAATTGCAAATGTATTTGATCAATTCACCCTAAACAAGGCAATAAAGCGACTAAGACTAAGAATGGAAGAAACCAAGAAAACATTATTGAGCATAGAGGACACGATTCAAGGAGACAGAAGATGACGAATGCCGTGTAACGTTCCAGAAAATAAATAAAAATTTCCAGGAATTCTTGCATTCTTTATAGTGTTTCTCATTTAAAAAAATTCAAAAAAAAAAGTTGTGCCCTGAATACATATTGTTAAGAGAAGAAAAAGTATTTTTATATTATTCGACAATATTCAATTTTTCAGCTACAACTTTTGGCGACACTAATATGACATTGTGTCAAATTTGAGGATTTGGGTTAGAAAATGACATCACCACACTGTCACATAATCCCACCAACCAAAATACATATCCGCTGGGTAGTGGATATAAAGCATTATAAATCACTCCTGTATGCAAAAAGAAATAAAGAAATGTCTGCCAAATAATAAATCTATTGATAAATACCACAGAAAGAAGTACACAAAAACTTGGAAGCAGGATAGAAATTGCATTTTGGGATTGAGTTCTAAATAAATGATTAATCTGTGATGACCAATCTTAGGATATAACACACAATAAAAGACAGGTTACAACGTCTAGATGTACTTTGAACATGCATTGAATATCTGGCTAGCACACGAGAAAAAATCTATAATATTATTATGCAATGGTCTATATAAGTAAAATGTTGGTGGTGCATTTCAAGGGCAAATAATAGATGAGAATGTAGTAATTAAAACGTATGCAATATCTGTCTATATCTCTGAAATGAGGTATTATGATTATTTACATTATTTGGTCTGTTATCCTCATATTCATTGCCATATTCACAACGTTTCGACCGTTGTACACTCCGACCTTCTTCAGTTGATTGGAATTTCGAAACGAACCCTTTATTTCCTCCACTGGGGTAGACTGTTCTAGCTACACGTGCAATGACTCTACCGGATGTATTAGTTATGGTATATTATGGTAATTTACTGACGCTCATCAACTCTCAGTTATGATATTTTATGGTGATTTAATAACCCTCATCAACTCTCCAAGTTTTTTCGTTCACCACTGCTGTGGCCTGGTATTGAACTCACAACTCTTTGGGTCTAGTCACTGGATCTAATCAACGTCTTTATCCATTAAAAAAGGGTAAGGAACAAGCAAACGCCAAGAGTTTGGGGTTTTAATTATTTAAATACGAAGCCCTATTAATTTATTTTAGTTTATTAAACATTGACTTAATTCTTTAATGCCCTAATTCGGTATAAGCTATCTTCGTGTACTAGGTACCTCTATGGACATTTTAAAATAAAAAAGCGCATTTTAAATAATAAAAATGCTTTCTTTGATCTGAAATTTCGGTACAATTTGTAAGACAATGGACTGAAGCTAAACCGAATTAAAAGAAAAATTAATTTCCATATAGAAACATATTAAATATTTCGAAAACATTTATACAATTTTTCAGCACTCATCGAGCAGTCATTGTATACGAAAACTGTAAACCAAAAATTTAAAATTCTCATTAAAATCCAATATTTAACTGTTTCTAAATCTATTAGTAAATTTAAAAACGTAATTCACTGGATTTTCTAAAAGTAATGCTTACCTTTTACTGAAAACAAAATAAAGATACCAATTACTAATATTATTTGTCCGCCATTTTAGAACATGGAGAAATTTTGGATTTGTTTCAAAGACTTATTTCGAGATAACAAGGAATTTGAGAATTATTAGAACTTACACGGCCGAACAGACTTTAGTATTCGTTACCACTGTAAAAGTTAGACTATTCGGTGAAATAGTGATTCTGAGTTCAATCCCTCGACCGAGCAGTGCAGACATAGATTCAGTGGAAAATATTAAACAGGAACCAGATGAGCTACCCCTAGACGCAGACAGCGGAACAAGATTAAATAAACGGATCAGTTCGAAATTTCTCGAAGGTTACCGAGATCGGCAAGTACCGCCCGAAACGTTTTGATAAGGCCAACAGAGATAATGAGAATCGTCCATATTTAAATAATGTAAATAATAGACTGTTTTGTTTTTTTAGTGTTAAACATTTATACTCTTCCCCTACAAGCTACGTGACATTTGCATTCTCCATAATGGGTGAAATCATGACAAGCTCTCTGCAGACATGAAGAAAATGAAAAACAAAAGAGATTAGAAATAAAAGCCGAAGTTGACAAACTGCACATATTAAAGAAAAGTCAAGGAATAACAGGAAGAACAACGGGGGAATTGTGGAGTGAAGATGGAAATATACACGAAGACAATCAATAATCACATGACAAAAATGGTTTCTGAGTCAGAGCATCAAGCGCATCCTTCCGGTTAGTAAATTAATGCTTTGAAAATAAATATTTTATATTTTCCAACCAATGGGTTACCTTCCTTTCAACAATAAAACCATGCTTCGTAATCACTTTGAAGCGTGTTTAAGTAAAGTCACTAGACAGACAAAACCAGTAAAGAGATACATACCACAAAGCACGACTTACTCATTGACTCCTTTTCCTCAACGCGGTACGTAACATTTATACTCTTCCCCTATAAGCTACGTAACATGTGCATTCTCCATAAACAAGCTACGTGACACTTAGACTCTTCCCTACAACCTCCGTGTTATTTACTCACCAAGCTACGTGACATTTAAACTCTTACTCACGAAGCTAAGTGACACTTACACTTTCCTCACTAAGCTATGTGACCTTTACACACTACCTACACTAAGATATTTGTCATTTACACTCTTTCTCACCAAACTACGTGACATTTACCTTCTTCCTCCCCATACTAAGAGACTTTTACACTTTACCTCAGCAAGCTACGTGACATTCAAAGTCTTTCTCACCAAGCAACATGACACTTACACTTTCCCTCACCAAGCGACGTGACATTTACAACCAACCTTCACTAAAATAACCTATCAGTTACCTTCTTGTTCACCTAGCTACGTGAAATTTATACTTCTTCAGAAAGTTACGCGACATTCATACTCTTTCTTCGCAAACTACCTGACATTCTCATTCTACCTTACCATATTACGGGATATTTAAGCTCCGCCACAAGAATTTCCGTGACACTGATACTCTTTCTCACCAAACTAACTGATATATACATTTTTCATAAGTAGCTTTTACACTCTTCCTTACCAAGCTACCTGTAATTTACGCAATTCCTCGCCGGGCTACGTGACACTTATATTCTAACTCACTAAGCTACGCGACATTTACACGCTACCTAACCAAACTACTTGTCATTTACACTCTTACTTTACTAAGATACTTGTCATTTACACTCTTCTTCACCAAACTACTTGACGTTTTCACTCTTCTTCGGCAATCTACGTAGCATATAAATTCTTCCTTCACCAAGCTACGTGATATATACAATTCATCACCAAACGACATATTTACACTCTTCCCCACAAGCTACATGACACTTGCACTGTACTTCATCAAGCTACATGACATTTACATACTTCTTCACTAAGCTATGTCACATCTACATTCTTCTTCAACCAGCTCCGTGACACTTCCACAACAAGCTACGTGACATTTAAACTCTAACTCGCCGAGCTACGTTAAATTGACACTATTCCTTATCAAGCTACGTGACATTTAGACGATTTCTTCACAAGCTAGCTGACCTTTACATTATTCCTCACAAAGCTACGAGATATTTGCACGATTCCACACCGGGGTACGTAACACTGAATATCTTCCTGAGAAAAACTAAATTACATTTACATTTTCCTCACCAAACTTCCACTCTTCTTCACCAAGCTACCTAACAGTTAAACTCCTCCTCGCCTAGCTACTGGATACTTGAAATCTACGTAACCAAGCAACGTGATATTAACACTGTTCCTCACCAAGCTACGTGATATTGACACTCTTGCTCAACAAGCTATCTGACATTTAAACCCTCCCTCACCAAGCTACGTGACATTGATATTTTCCTCACCAAACTCTCTGTTAGTTACATTTTTCCTCATAAAGCTACATGACACTTACACTCTTCCGCACAAAACTACCTGACATTTATAGTCTTCCTCGCCAAGCTACCTGATATTTACAGTCTTACTCACCAAGCTAAGTGACAATTAAGATCTTCCTGACCAAGCTATGTGACACTTACCCTCTTACTCACCAATCTACGTGATATTTACACTCTACCTTACTCTAAGATACGTGATATTGACACTCTTCCTGACCAAACTACGTCATATATACACTCTTCCTTACCAAGCTACCTCAGATTGATATTTTTCTCACCAAGCTACGTGACACGTACACGCTGCCTCACAAAGCTACCTGACATTTACGCTCTTCCTCACCACGCTATGTAATATTTACACACTTCCTCACCAAGATACGTGACACTTACATTCTACTTCACCAAGCTATGTGACATTTACACTCTTCTTGACAAAGTTACAGTCTTTCTCACCAAGTTACACAACACTTACCCTCTTCCTCGCGAAGCTACGTGACATTTACACTCTTCCTCGTCAAGCTACGTGACACTTACATTCTACCTCAGCAAGCTACCTGAAATTTAGTCTCTTCCTCAGCAAGTTACGTAACATTTACACTCTCCCTTCACTAAGCTACCTGACACTTAAATCCCCCCCCTCACTTTCTCCTTGGCTCTTTTTTCACATACATACACGTGAAGAATCCATATTTCTTTTATGTTAACCAACATCTAATAAGAAAAGATCTTTAACACAGGAACCTTAACAGTGATACTTCCTGAGAAATTTTGTTTTAAAAAAAACGAATATAAAAATAATTTTATTTTTATATTTAAAAAAGCTTTCTCACATTTTCCTTTGTTGTGGGTTGATTCAAATCAGCCAGAACCTCTCTTCTCACAATACAGGCTAAGCATGTATCATCAATCTCACGGTATGCGTGCAAAAAGACAGAGAGGGAAGTTTCTGAAAAGAAAAGCAAAAAAAAAACATGTCTCGCTTTGTGGTTGACCGAAAATCTAAAAAACATTATCAAGTCCACAAAAGATTTAGTAATTCAACCACTATCGGGTCTTATGGGCTACGGTTCATCAAGACACACCCTATGCTTCACTGCTGTAGACTGTTTAGCCCTGACTAAAAACAAAACAAAAAACTACTCACAAAGAAACTATTTTTGTGTTAAATACCACAGATAGCCTCAAGCGATGGGGACGCTTTTGGAGGTCTCTAGCCATGTTTTAAATACTCATGTATCCGTGTTTTTGTTTCGATTCGGGTAATTTCTTATCACGAGTCGAGGGCGATTATGTCGTTCGTGCAGTTTCTTCATTACGGTACCTTTTTTCCTATACTAAATTTGTTATAACTTATCCATACCCCAAGGTATTTGAAGTCTTTAGTATTTACTAATTTCTCGTCCTGAATTTTATGATGGAGTCAAGGTAGGTGCCATCACTGCTTTCATCCCAATTCCAGATCATAGTTTCTGTTTTGGAAAGGTTTATCTTGAGTCCTATTTCTTGAAACATTTGATAGAGGATGTTTTCATTTTTATGATGGATTCAGGGTAGGTGCCATCATTGCTTTCATTCCGATTCCAGATTTTTCTTCTGTTTTTTGGAAAGGTTTATCATGTGTCCTATTTCGTGGAAAACTTGGTGAAGGAGGTTTTCATTTTTATGATTGTTTCAGGGTGGTGCAATTATTGCTTTCATTCCAGTGCCAGATGATAGTTTCAATATTGGAAAGCTTTATCTTGATTCATATTTCTTAGAACACTTGATAGAGGATGTTTTCATTTTTATGATAGATTCAGTGTATGTCCTATTACTGCTTTCATTCAAATTCCAAGTCATTGTTTCCGTTTTGGAAAGGTTTGAATCATATTTCTTGCAACACTTGATAGAGGATGTTTTCATTGATATGATTTTTTCCAGTTAGTGCCATCAACGTTTTTTCCAATTGTCATATATATATATATATATATATATATATATATATATATATTGTTACAAAGTTGAAAAATCATTTAAATGACATTAATTGTCACAACTTTCTCAAATCTCTTAATTTTTTCGAATTTTATATCCTACTGACACACACACGCACACACGAACACACACACATATATATATATATATATATATGTGTGTGTCTGTGTGTTCATAACATATCTCTAATTGAGTACTGTTGCAAAAAAATAGCCCCTCCACCCGTAAATAAAATGAATTGGTACACTATCGTCATAGTAGGCTATAAATGTCAATAATTAGATTATGCTATAGTCAGTTTTCGATCAGCACCTGACGACTGCGCCTCAAATAAAAATTGAAAGTTGAGCTACCGGTTAGGAAAAACATGTATATTTTTTGTTAATATATATATATATATATATATATATATATATGAAGAAATGTAGTTTTAAGGTGTGCTATATTTATGGGATGAAGTGCTCAATATCAGAGATAGATAGTAAATATAAAAGTGAACATTGAATTCAACACTCAGAGGCGACAGGCTGTTTCATGCTAAACCCAGTCATCAGACCACCTGAGTGTTGACTTGAATGTTCACTTTTACACACACACACACATATATATATATATATATAAAGTGAGCATTGAAGTCAACACTGGGTGGCTTTCCTAAAACAGGTATATATATATATATATATATATATATATATATATATATATATCTTCTTTTTTTTTTCCTCCCACAACTTCCTTTTATTGTACATTTTTCTGTGTTAATTTTAAATTAAATCTCCCGTTGAAGCCTGAAGAGCGGGGGCGAAACCGGTTGCTTCACCCGTTTTTAAAATGTCTCGTAATATTAAGTTTTATACTTTTATTTCGATCATTAAATTTTGTACCTACAAAAAATATCTTTATATATATATATATATATATATATATATATATATATATAGACCTGTTTTTAGGAAAGCCGCCCATAAATGAACTGATTCAGAATAATGTTCTTCCTTCTCACTTTCACCTAGAAAAGGAATCTATTAAACATTCCGTGTTTTTCGTAGAAACACCCAAAAAGAATTCCTTTAGAATGCCACTTTTCCCGCACAGTCATCAATAAAATTAGTTATTTAGAATCCATGTTTTTCGCACCGTCATTCACAATACCTTTTATCTGCAAAGTAGAAAAGATCCCATGTGCAATGGCTTTTACCTCACAGATACCAGACAAAGAAACCTACTTACACTACCCTTATTCCTCACAAAGACTCAGAAATGAATCCATTTACAACGCCTTTTTGTCAAGCGACTGTGAAAAGAAATTGATTCACAATGAGCTTTTGTCGCGGCCTCTCAACTCTATTTTGAATCCACATTTATCCACATAGACTTCCAGAAATAGAAATCCATATAATATTTCCAATTTTTATGCACAAACAACCAGAAAACTAAAATATTTGCAATGTCCTTTTTTCCATACGCCTATCAGGGGTCGTGGGATTATAAATTTTGCCTTGTTTGAATTTTTGTCAATATGCGAATAAGACAAAGAGAATGACAAAGTGTTTTTGGAATGTTCTCGGCCTTCTCAACTATCTGGCGTCATTTTGTCAAAATTGGGGGAAGTCGTTTAGGTCGTATGCATTTCTTCGTCCCAGCGGAAATGTTATTTTCTTTAAAAAAAAATGTGATGAATGCACTGCATTTTTTCAAATTAAATTTTTAAGACAATATAATTACTTATACTCAATTGTGCATGATGAAATTCTTGCGAGATAATTTGTCGCTTCGCATAACTAATTCAATTTACAAACAAATTAAAATACAAATTAATTAGTTTGCAGCGGTTAAAAGCAGTTTTTAGAATAAGAAGGAAAATAGAAAACGGAAAAGTTATTTACTATATTTCTTCATCTGCAGACAAGTGGACTGCCTCTAAGACAACTTATGGAATTGTCTAACAGACAACTAGAATAAAAGAGAGAAGGTAACTACACAAGAACAATGTTTCTTTCAAGAGATTTTGTTTCAAAACATTATTTCCTTCTTTTTCTTGTTCTATTCCTTTTTCTACCTTTTGTTTTCTTTAGATAGATGACAACAATAATGATAGTTCTTTGCAAAAAGAAAGTTGGGCAAGGTAGTTCGGAAAAAACAACGTTTTTAAGACAACCATTATTTGTCATTATAGCGTTTGATATCAAGTAGAAGCCCATAAATAATAATAAGTAGTACCTGTCAAAATTTCACGGTTTTCCCATTTGAATTTTTCGATGAATCATAATTTTTAACTTAGTGAACAAATAAAGTTTACCTTTCGTCCGGTTCACACACCTCCCCATTCTTCTGAACAGGAATAGATTTTCATCTCTTGTTTCCTGTTTAGGATTGAGTTTCCGCTCTCTTCTAAAGTTTACTTCAACTGTATACTCCTAAGGTAACCGCCTGAAATTTTATTTACTAATTAAATCTTGACCACTTCACGTCTAGAATTAGTTGTCTATATTTCCTGTTATCTTGCCCTTTTCTAACGCTAATACAAATACACAGAGTAACCTACGACTTTGAGTTGCCCTTGGGACTTTTACTTTGTGAAAATTAGTAAAACTAAAGAAAAAAAGCATATATACTACAAAATACCCGTGGAAATTCTCTGATTTTATCGTTAAATAATTGAGTTTAAAAACTTTAACCAAATATTGTAATAACAGACATAATTATGAACGCAGATCATTATTGAAAAAAAATTAAGCCTGTATCAATGAAAATTTTGTTTGACTTTTAGAAGACATCTTACGCTATTTCAATTGGCCTGTGGGTTTTTGGTTCACATTTCAAGATCATTAAAAAAGAAGAATAGATTATCTTTTTTAAGGAAAAGTTGATGAAAATCATTACGATTCATTCTTTAAAGCGAAACAAATCTAAGCTTTCAAAGTGTTCGTCCTATTAACAGTTAGCGAATAAGCCGTACAGTAAATATAATTGCAGTTGTCGCAAAACTATGAACGATTTGGAAAACAAATCAAAGACCAGATTGTGACGAGCATTGACCATCTCAGTCTTTTTTTACGTCTTCAAATCTTGGACATTTACAGAGAAGAATGCAAGTATTAGAATTTAGATGCTTCAAAACCATCTTAGGCATCACCTACGTAGATGTCAATCGTTATTATGCTAAACCTCATTAAACTAGAAACTTGTCCGTTCGAAGACCACATAACCACTGTTATGAAGAGAAAGTTGTAAAGATCCAACAATGTTTCCACAGCCGCCCCTAGAATGTGCCACCTTAGACCAAAGAAGAGACAGGCAGCGGTAAAATGTGCTGACACTGTCACTGGGCGATCCTTCCCAGAGATCCAGATATTGACACGCGACAGAGACATAGAGAGGGAGCTGGTCAGGTGTCCCGCTACGCAGCGACCAAACGCGTCCATGCGACTGATGAGGAGAAAGATGAATGTCCTGAATTCTACAATAAATATAATAGAATAAACAGCTTGTGTTTAAAATGGACCCAACCAAATAAAATTGCCAACGAATGGCGAGTGACTAAGACGATATATTTATGTGTGCATTCATTTTGCCCCTTACGAGAACACGAAAGAGTAACAAATGGACTGACGCATGTAATATTGTTATCTTGAATATTTATTGGGATAGACAGAGAGACAGACCGATTGATGGGTAGGCGGAATCGTACGAGAACGATGCCGCCATCATTGTGATAGGCAACGGTATAAGAAAGAAAGACAGAACTAATAGAGAGGGAGAAAGGAAGAAAATGAAAAATAGGAAGGAATGGAAAAAGAAGGAAAGAGGAAAAAGAAAGAGAGATGGGAATAAAGAAATATAGAAGGAGGATTATTTTCGAATAATGACATATAAAGAAAGAGCATACAATGAAAAAGGAAAAGAAAAAAGAGGGTTGGTCTCTAGAAAGAAAGAAAGAAAGAAAGAAAGAAAGAAAGAAAGAAAGAAGTAAACTGCAAATAAAATAGACATATACAATCTATAGAGAGAGGAGAAGGGGTTGTTTTTAAAGAAAGAAAGAAAGAAAGAAAGAAAGAAAGAAAGAAAGAAAGAAATTGCAATTAAAATGGACATATACTATCTAGAGAGAGAGGCAAAGAGGGGATTTTTAAAGAAAGAAAGGGAGAAAAGGAAATAAATAAATTGGAAATAAAATGGACGTATACAATCTATAGAAAGAATCAAAGATAGGATCTTTTTTAAAGAAAGAAAGAAAGAAAGAAAGAAAGAAAGAAAGAAAGAAAGAAAGAAAGAAAGGACTAATTAGGAAAATAAATAAAGACACTGCAAATAAAATGGAAATATACAATCAAATAGAAAAAGGCATATAAAGAAAGAAATAAAATAGAAGAAAAGAAAGGAAGAAAAGGAAAGAAAATGACAATTTAGGATATATGTAAAGAAATAATAAAAAAAGAAGAAAAAGTAGATGCGAGTACACTTGAAAAGGCAAGAAAAAAAAAGGGATCTTTTTTTTTTAGATAGAAAGGAAGAAAAATGTAGAAATGCACTTGTGGAACTGAAGTAGGCATTGCTCAAAGTTGGTGGCCTTCCATGGCCCACAACAACAGAAAAACTTAATACTATCAGTTTCCCTTGAAATAAAAAAACGACATTAAGATGGAGCGACGGCTTGGCTCTGAAACTGACAAGAAATTAAAGTGGATAACACTCCTCTTTATTTTAAAATGTGATTCTATAACAAATATAGCCTCTGTATTGTAAATCTCTAACTCCATTACTAAAGAGCACCATCAACGTCATCAACGTCATTACAATAATCATCATCACATTCTTCACCTTCGCCATTCCATTTTCTTTTTTATTTTGTCGTCTGCTTTCCGTTTTTAATGCCCAGACGATTAGTCGTACTTTTAACGAACCGGCATTTCTATCAAATTCGTACTGTCATCGAAATTGACCGGCCTCGTGTGTTATCGCAAGTATCCATGCCCTACGTCTAACAGACCTGCATCAAGTACCCGGACACTCTTGTAAGAATGTCGTAATAAGTACATTTTTCAACATGTTTACTTACTCATATACTTGCTACAAACGCCGAGACGATACTTTCACCCCCACCCTCACCATCCTCATATTGTAGCTATGGATTTTTCAGTAAGTTCCTGATATCAGAGAGATGCCATCTTGAGCTTACGCTTTTTATAGCAACGCTCTTAATGGTATGCGGAAACAAACTTTCTTCAAAACTAACTAAGAGTATGATTAGATGTATGTTAAAATATTAGCGCTTCGTTTCTTCCTAATCTTCATTTCGTACACCAAACTAGTGACATTTCATCAACGCCGATCGAACCCTGAATTTCCGTCTATCGCAATACAAGGGCGCTCTCTCAGTGCTGCCACAAGTCTTTTGCGTCTGTCAGGACACCGACAATTGGAACTCGTACAACAACCCCTTGCTAAAAACGCTGGCAAAATTGTTGGTTTCCTGTAAGAAAAGGACATCGGCTGCCATTCTTTAAATTTCCAAGAGCAGATCATAAATGAAATATTGCTACCAAGTTTTCACTTTTCACTATCGCGGCCTTGTGAGTGATGGATTATACTGTGTAACATGATTTTTGTCCTTGGGTAGCAACGGTTACGTCCTAGTTGCTTACGCCTAGAAAATGGCTAATATTTCATTCAAACTTTATGACCAGGATAATGATATTTCTAAAATTTGGCTATTCCCACTATTTAAATTATTCGGACTATCGTCCTCATCTTTGTCGCGATATTTATCACAACGTTTCGGCTTTATTTCGCTCACTGTCTTCAAGGACACATGGCACAGTTAATAATGGCGTTAGTTAGATCCAGTGACAGGACCCAAAGAGTGTGAGTTCAATACCTGGTTAAAGCAATGGAGAACTTGGAGAGGGGAGTTAGCAGGAAATAACTGATAACTGACATCCATTAGACATGGCGCGTGGAACTAGAACAGTCTACCCCAGTGAGCGAAATAAAGGGTACAGTTCGACAGTCCAACCACCCGAAGAAGGCCGGAGTCTACAACGGCCGAAACGTTGTGATAAATATGGCGACAAAGACGAGGACAATAGTCCGAATAATGTAAATAGTGGGAATAGCCAAATTTTAGAAATATCATTATACTGATCATAAAGTTTGAAGGAAATATTAGCCATTTATCATCTAAATTCTACGCGGCCTTGTGAGTGATGGATTATACTGTGTAACATGATTTTTGTCCTTGGTTAGCAACGAGTTGCTTACGCCTAGAAAATGGCTAATATTTTCTTCAAACTTTATGACCAACTTATGAGTGTACAACGTTTCGACTTTTGTACACTCCGGCCTTCTCCAGGTGGTTGGAATGTCGAACTGAACCCTTTATTTCGCTCACTGGGGTAGACTGTTCTAGTTCCACGTGCCATGTCTAATGAATGTCAGTTATCAGTTATCTCCTGTTAATTCCCCTCTCCAAGTTCTCCACCGCCTTAACCACCTATTGAACTCACACTCTTTGGGTCCTGTCACTGGATCTAACTAACGCCTTTATCCACTGTGCTATGTGTCCTTGAGGACAGTTAGTGTAATAAAGAGTTTAGTTGGACATTCCAACCACCTGAAGAAGGTCGGAGCTTACAAAGACCGAAACGTTGTGATAAATATGGCAACAAAGATGAGGGCAATAGTCCGAATAATGTAAATAGTGTACATAATACCTCATCTCAGAAATATAAACAGATTGGCTCTTCCCATTGTGAAAACTAGCGAATGCGAAGATTCCCGTTCACGCAAAGTAGGAATAAAACGACATATGATTTAATAGTGGCATTTAATTATTCTAGGATTACACAAGAGAAGTCACATATAGTTTAGAAATTGTAAGTTTTTTCGCAATTTACGCTTATATTGTAAATTACTTTCACAGATCAGGCCCCAGATATATTCTTCCATCATGTTTTCGTTATACGATCTTTGGTAACGACGTTCAAAGTCCACTATATCCTGGTACAAGCTCCTCTAAGTAAGCACCCCCATGTTCTCCTTGAACTTGTTAAGATTCGCGTCAAGGATATGGAATTTGAGAGACATTCATCAGCTCTTTTTGCCATAGTTCTTCACCTGGGTCTCAGCAAAATCCATATAGTTTTCGGCCTGGTGATTCCCCAGGAAGCCCCGAACTACTGAGATAAATCTGTTTCACGCTGTTTTCTCCGTCCTAGTGAGCTTCTTGAGGAATTCCTTACACTCTATAATCGTCTTCATTTATGACCCGACGAAAACACCGTTTTTGACTTTTACCGCAGACAGGTTAGGGGATATGTCTTGTAGGTACTTGAAGGCAGCAGATTTCTTATCTAACTTCTGGGGGTCCAACAGTGGCTCCAATTTGACGTTGTTCCTCTCCACAGGGAACTCAGTCCCCTGTGGACTGTCTCGCTTGTGGTAGTGTACCGTGGTGTCCCTGCTGTCCAAAAAGCAAAGGTAACACGGAAACTTGTTAAAGCCGCCTTTCATTACGTAGGTCACTATTCTGAAATCTCCGATAAACTCCCAAACGTACTCTTCATATTTCAAGGTATCTAGTGAGATCTTGACACTGATGTATTACTCTTTGAGCTGCACTGAGTGAACCAGAGGAAGAGATTGATACATGTTATGAAGGAGCACGGCATTGAGGCTCCTGGGTGACCTTGATTTACAGGCCATTCGAAATTGACTCGAACAGACTGGTCAGATTGTAGCAGAAGCAAAGTCAATCTCGATGGGTTAAAAAACTTGAAAGCACTGGTGATGCTTCCTCTGCGCTGCGTCTTGCACGCTTTCATCTAACAAATTGCAGTGTGCTTGAATCTTGACGTCAAAAGCTCGGCACAGGACTTCGTAAGACCACCATATCTTATTGGATCGTCGAGGTCTTTTTGGTTGGGGTAATATGGGTTTCTCTCCTCAGCTCCGCCTCTGTAATGTGCTCGCTTTTTGGGGGAGAGGGCACGGGAGCCCAGGGTAGTGTGGCAATGGGGCGATGGATGACAGAAGGTCTGGATATATGATAGTAGGTGCAATCTTTCCAGCTCGACGTTTTAAAGAACCGATTGCTTGAGTGGTCAGTTTGTTCCCTCCAAATCCGTTGGACTGCAAATTCTGTGCCTCTAGTTCCACCCCCTCAATATAATTCTGCAAAATAAAAATACAAATATATCTCACACAGTGTTATTAAAAAATTCTAGAACATTATGCTTTGGATTTTTGAAATTTCTAAAAATATTGCTCTGGATATGTACTATTCCGGATCTGGAAACTAATTAATGTAGCATTACCATTCATGATACTATGGATACTAATGGACGATTGTTGATTAATATTTAATGAATATTTTTTAGTAAAAATATTAAAATTAAAATAAAAGATCCGAAACTTAAAAAAAAAAAACATTTAAAAAAATTAAAAATTCCACTATCCAAACAAATAAAACTTTCCAACTTACCTTTTTTTTTCAGAGTTTGCGGATGAAATGAAGGTAGACGGGGTTTGCCTTGATCAGCGACAACTATGGCGACGTATGACGTTTAGGCCTCACTCATTTTAGCAAATGTTGCCAAAGAGTAATTCTTCGTTCATGTCTTGATAATTTCATACATAGAAAAACGTGTCTGCCTGATGCTTACAACGTCTTGATAACATGCAACAAACTACTCAGTATCCAGCTGTTGGGACCAAGTAAATCGTTAAAGAAATAACAAAACAAGTGTTACAGATATATCATATATTAAACAGTACAACAGAAGAGTATTACACGACTAATGAGTGTGTGTCAGTTGACCCAGCGTTCAATCTATGCGACTGTTCCCCCAAGGCCTTCTCTCCTACTAATCTTGTAGTAGGTGGAAGAGTCCAACATAAACACTTTAGAGGGAGGACACCACAACACAGGAAATCGTGAAAGTGGTAGGAACAACTGATAATTTTGTGACTTCCAAATCACCATTTATTGTGCTCTATCATGTTAACTAATATACAAAGAATATTTTTGTCATAGACACTCTGTATATATATATATATATATATATATATATATAATAATTTTATTGGTAAAGACAAAAACAACACTACAATAATCAACCTCGTTTCGGGGCATTTAGTTGCACCTCGACTGGTGAGAGCCAAACATTATAATAAATAATTACTGCTTTACTCTCGGTATTGAGCCCTCTTTTGAATTAATGGTGTGAACGTTAGAATTTATATGTTATTTTCGCTCTCATTTCATTAATACACACACACACACATATATATATATTAGAATTTATTTTATTTTCGCTCTCATTACATTCATATATATATATATATATATATATATATATATATATATATATATTTCGGTACATCAACCGAAACGTTGTAAAAAGAACAACACAGATGAGGACAATAGTAAATAGCATAAATCATGATAAATCCTCAACCCGAAAATTAAGACAGAAAAAACAAATTGTTTATAAATTCTCGTGTCCTTTGGGCGTATCTTCTCAGATATTAATAATCAAAAATCAACGTTAAATTTTTAAATTGACAAATATTTTAACTATTATATGCGCAGGATGGTGAAGTATATGGGTGGTTTCGATAAAATGTCACATCAATAGCGACCAGATAGCGTTCTTCATATTCCTCTGTTTTCTACCATAGGGTCGGCATGTTTTCATAAAACAATGCTTTCTCTCACACTACACAGGTCATAGAATCATGGTTTCAACTGGAACAGTAGGAAGCCTTCATTGTGTTACCCTGTGAACCAAGCCACCAGATCATTGGGCAAATTGAATGTGTCTTCATTTACTAAGCTTAAATTACTTTGGCATAAAAGTCACAGCTATTATTCAGTTGCAATGTTCAACAGAACTAATTCGCTATTACCCAACACCGACTGACTGGGCCTAATTTATCCTTTTATTGGCAAAAGGTTGCAAAACACAGGAG